TCCCCTGAGCGTTGAGCGTCGGCCAGATCCCCTGGTAACTGCTCGCATCGCCATTCTTCCCAGACCGTAATGATCTATCTGCGCCTCCGCACTGTTCACTCATTCCCAAAGGACCCTCACAATATCTAGCGTGTCATACGTCAATTCACCACCAAGTGGTGCAGAGCCAGCCAGTCTATCTGCCTTCTGATTTCCCAACACACCGGCATGACCTGGAGAAAATATCCAAATGATACAAAACACCCAGTACCTCTAAAGTGATGCTTGCCACTCTGCACGAATCATGCCTGTTTTCACTTTTCACAACATGCTCTGAGAGTCAGTTACAATCACGGCATGTGTGTACATCTGATTTTCAAGCCAACGCAAGGCAGCAAAGACTGCCTCCACCTCCATTTTCAAACTAGACGTTGTGGTGTCATATGCAAGGCTTTGCTGCACTAGGCAACGTCCATTCGCCTTTGCTATGAAACCCCATGCACTTCCTCTGCCCCTTAACACAGAGCCATCTGTATAGATAATCACATCACTTGGGCGGGAATTGTCGTGAATCGTTTGTTGAACTTCTGATTCTGTAGCACCAACTGGACAGTCTCTGCACTCACGACCTAACCTGAAACTTGTTCGGACATCTTGACCCACTCCTCTCCTCGCCCACAATTATCAAGCCTGCACACATGTCTGATTGTGTTTTTAGCTTGCGCCATCCAAGACCTTCCTCTTTTCAGTCTGTGACCCTTAGCTCTACCCAGGGCTTCTGTCTGTGATTGTGGAGCAGAAAGACAGACCCCTGGGCACATACTACAGTACTGCCCTAATCTCTCCCAGCAAAGACTGTGGATCTGGCCCAGGGGATCCACATTGCGAGAGAAGCTATGAGGGAACAGTGGCGACCTTAAACGCACAATCCTATTTGTGACCCAGACGGGACTCAATGTTTAGCATGACTGATGTCGAACGCAGAAGAAGAAAAAAAGAAAAAGTAGGAGATGCCTCTTGTCTGCAGCTGCTCTGAGATATGACTTTGACTGCAGAACTTTGAGCCTATCTGTATTAGCAATGGCTAAATTAAATCCAACGAAGAAAAAAAAAGGAAAAAAAAAATTGTATGCACCAGTTGGAGCGTCGATTGACTGCACCACTGCACAAAAAAGGGCACGAAGTTGCCTTATAGTCTTCAAGCAAAACTGGTAAGTACTTGTGTTCCTGAGAAGATACTGGTAAAATAATGAAGTTTTGAACTGTGTGAAACGTTTTCGTCTTAGGTACCCGGATAACAGCAGATGGAAGATGTATTAAAGAAGTTAAATGTTGAATAGCACAAGCAACGGCAGCATTTTACAAATTGAAGAATAGTTAGTTAGTTAGTTAGTTAGTCTTTCCTCTTGTGTCGAGTGCGGCACATAGGGCAGAGGTCGTGACTCTCCATGCACGGCGGTCCGTTGCAATCCGTTGTAGGTCTTGGATGTTTGAGTGGCCCATGAGCGAGCCTTCCCTGATGATAGTTCTACGTAGGGTTTCCCTTGGTCTTCCACGAGATCTTTTCCCCTGTGGTGTCCAAATGAGGGCTTGGTAAGGAAGTCTTGATTTATCCATTCTAAGGACGTGGCCGACATAGTTCCAGCGGCGTTTTCGTATAAAATTAGACAAGAATAGTACGCCATCTGAAGAATAGTACGCCATCTTTATTTGACAGTTCGCAAAAGCTATACAAATCCTGTCCTTAAATACAGAATTGAATCTTCAACAGTTGGGCAAATAATGCAAAATTTTTCGGAAGCGGCGGAGATGAGGTTTTATAGACGAATGATGAGAATACCCTAGCCAGGCAAAAATACTAATGAAGATTTTTTTAAATAAACTCTTCTTCTTCTTCGTCAGCATTCCGAGCCCTTGAGGTTCATTGCTGCAGATATCACCCGCCTCCATTTATCTCTCTGGTTGGCCTTCTCTTTTCAGTTGTCTAGAAATTATTTCTCCATCGTCTTCTTGGTCTCCATCGTGGTCTACGAACATTCATCTCCCCGGTGTATACAGTTTTTACTTTTCTGCATCTGACATTCTTTCAATATGCCCCAACCATTTCATTCTATTAGTTCTCATGATGCCAGTGATCATTGGTGATTTAAACATATTATTAATTTCGTTGTTGCTTCTCACTCTCCATTCCCCGCTGTTTGAATCTTTGATGGGTCCTAAGATTCGTCGTAAGACTCTGTTTTCGAAAACCTGTAATAAGGCTTCATCTCTTTCAGCTGTGCTCCAAGTTTTAGAACCATATAAAACCAATGGTCTTCTCAACGTTTCATATATTTTTAAAATAAACTCACTAAAATAAATGACTACCCTTATCAAAAGGAGATAATCTTCATTCTTTGGTCATGTCATGAGAAAAAGAAGACTGGGGTACATTGTGATGGTGGGAAGTTGGGGGGGGGGGGTAAAAAAAGGAAGAACGAGACACAGAGAGAAGATGTTGGCCATGTTAATTCATAGCTTGGAAGATTATATGATTGAGAAAGGATAGACAGTACACGAAACGGAAGAAGATTGTGGACATATATGCTTACTAACACTACACGCCGTGGACTATCTGAAGAAGAATAAAAAGAATAAAAATAAAATTATTGTAATGTACTGTATTGATACGAATACTATCCTACTTAATCATATAAAGAAAACAAGAATAACATCGACAGATACAACTGCAGTTCATGTGAAAATAATTGCAATAAATGGTTGTTGTTTGTTTGTTTTAGTATCCAGAAGCCATGAGTTGTTAACCCTTAGGCTCGGTATTATGGATATCGCAACCTTTCGGCCTTGATTCCATTGTAATTACCGTAAATCTGGGAGAAAATGTGGCTTTCCTGCCTACCCCCGGGATTGAACCCGGACCACAAGGAGTACGTCACCCGGTCTCCGCGAAATCCGGTTTAGCCAATTCCGCTAGAGAGCCGGGCGCAATAAATGGTAAACATTTTCGAAAGTGCCACAAACTTGAAATTTCTAGAGCCATTGAAAAATGCGCTATATATATATATATATATATATATATATATATATATATATATATATATATATATATATATATATATATATATATATATATATATTATATATATATATTAATATATATATATATATATATATATATATATATATATATATATATATATATATATATAATATATATATATATTAATATATATATATATATATATATATATATATATTTATATATATATATATATATATATATATATATATATATATAAACAGTAATGAAGACTGTCCAACAGAGGTAAAAAAAAGTGATCTTATGAAAACATTGATAAAACAGCTTTAAAAGTCAATGGCTCAGCACTATTATATGATAGTCAAAATGTTAACAGCAATTTTCTTGCCAATATCAACAATCGGACGTCAGTCGTTAATTTCCCTAGCTGGGAATTGGAGCCTCATTGTTTTGTCAGTTCGATAATACGGGTTTAATCACCTACGAGCTCAGTCATTAAATACGTAGGTTGATATTCCAATATTTTTACCATGGAATTAAACACCCGACCAGTTTGATCATCCTTTTCCTTTTTTTTATAAGTTAGAACAACAAAGTACTATTTAGTGAAGTCAGCCATGTAGCTTGCTTTTTCGGCAACTGTGGGGGGGGGGGGGGGGGGGGACATATTAAAGAACAAAATAAAGATCAGTATATTTCATTGCAGATGAGAGCTGAGAAATCCAAAAACGCACAACCGGCAATCTTCAAGGGCGAAAGAGCTCTCCAAATAAAATGCAGTTAATTAACAGAGAACGGCCACCGGTAAAAGTGACTTTGCTGGCAAAGAAGAACAGTGACAAGAACAAGTGTGAACTGTGCAACGCGTATGGCAGCCTGCAGTGTGCAAACTGTAAAGTCACTTTTTACTGTGGACAGAAACACTTCTTGATGGATAAGGTAGTTATCTTCACCAGTAAAAGTAATGTTAACATAATATGTTAGTTGCGTATCCTTTACAGGACGTTACAGAACGAACCCAAGTATTTTTTTAAAGGGGGGCTGTTGTGGACTTTCTAGGCACATTTTACGTACGTTCAGTATTTTGTCATTGCTTTCTGCATGGTCAGGTCATAGTACCACTGTTGAAACCAACGCAAGACAGACCGTCCGCAGTTGGGATCTAACCCAGCACCCTGGCATTACGAAGCGCGTTTGTAGCGCCTAAACCACAGACGTTGCAAAAGTAAAGTAAGTGACCCGATTCCACGCCTTCGTATATCATCAGGTATACTGGAAATATCATCATGAGGTATACTGGAAATATATTGCTACACCTATATTTTATAGGTGGGGCTTTTGAGCTGAAGTTCTATAGAAAGAATCTCAAAATATCTTGGACAAAGAAGAGGAGAAATACTGACATCTTGAAAAATCTGAACGTCAAGGAAGATTGACTAATAAACAGCATCAAGCCACCCGAGAAGTGCAAGACAAATACAACAAATACAACAACAACAACAACAACAAACATGATACTGGGCTACAACCTGATATCAGTGAGACGACAAAAGAAGAAGACGAAGAATGTTCAGATTACTAGTTTGAGTTCTTGTGTCCCTTAATATCAGGGTTGAACTCCATAATGTCAACTTATTTACCGCATTCAAGCTAAACACTTTGAAGTAGAAGAGTTGAGTGTAGTTGATTCTAGAACCGACATCACAGCACTCGAGACATTCCCATAAGCGCCCCATCCCCATCTTCAGCAGTCAGTGAAGAGTTCCAATACCAGTGGTACCAGTAGCCGTCTGATTATACGTCCTTCTTGCCTTTCCTCTGAGCGTCTAGCATCGGCTAGATCCTCTCGTCTCGGCGCTGCATCACTCTCACCAGACTGTGGTGATCCACTTACTCATCTCAAATGTACACGTTCTCCCACAAGGACCTTACCAACTCTTCCTTATCATGCATCAACATCCCACCAATTTTTGCAAAACCAGCCAGTCTGTCCGCCTGTTCATTTCCCAACACACCGGCATTCCCGAAGAACAGATACAAACAATGTTTCTCAACCGTGACCTCCGAAACGAAGCATGCCACTCTGCACGAAGCATGCCTGTCCTTACCTTCCTCGGCATGGTTTCCATGTCAGTTACAATCTCGATATGTAAAGAAGAAGGAATTAAAGAAACAACTGCTTGGGAGCAAAAGAGTTAACAGGTGTTTACTTTTATTTTTTTTTATTTTTCAAATCCTCAACGATAAAATGCATCACCATAATAAATTCAACTATGATTCTCTACCCAGGAACTTCACTCAGATATCTGCCCCCGACTGAAAGTCGTGAGAACCCCGATCGAGTTTAGCCCAGACAACGACACGAGAGAGCGGATGATCAAGCAGAGGCGTATCCTTCTTGAGGAGCTGTGCAGCTACACTTATCAAAAGGGCCAGTCGCTCATGGAAGAGGCACGGATAAAGACAGACAATAAATGACTAGCAGTGAAGTTAATTCATTCTAAGATAATTAGGACATCATTCTTCGAGTCTGGTCTAGACTGTCTGACTTTCTGTCTGTTTTGTCTGGCAGTCTGTCTCTTTGCTTGTCTAAAAATATGTCTATCTTCTCATTTTCATCCTATTTTTCCTCCTCCTCCTCTTTCTTCATATTGGTATTCACCGGCTGTAAACTCAGATGGAGAGCCTTGGTTGGTCGTCCACTTTTTGACTTTGGCCGCTTTCCAGAACTTGCGTTTTTGCATGTACATCTGTTTTACATATCTGGATTATTTGTATGCAGACTGTTGGTTGGTCGTACTTCAGGTAGAGGCACTCCGATTTCAAAAGAAACACCTCCAATTAGTCACTTTTTGCAACATGTTTGTTAGGAGACTGTTGACCTATTCTTTGATTTTTTGTTTCTTTTTTTAAATGGCACCCCGGAACCCACACGGGGATATTTTCTTATTCTACTTTGTATGTCTTTTTCAAACCTTTGTTGAAACAAATATTTGTAACCAATGGTGCTTTTCCCTCAAATGGTTAGATAAAAATTATGTACATAATCCATAGTTGTGGCCCTGGACAAATAATAGATCAGAGAAATGTTGACACCTTTTTTTTTAAATAAAGTAAGGTGAAAAGTAAAGATCCCTTTTTATGCCTTTATGTGTATCGGGTATATGGGAATAGCCCACATATTTTTACAGGCCATCGGCACTAGGTGGGTAATGTGGTCAGCACTACTCTGACCGTCTTTACTTCCACAAGACAGCCATCCTGATACCCATTTAAGGCTGGGGTTGACCTGCGACGCCCCATACCATGATAAAAATCCATGCAACCTTTTCCTAAAGGCTGTCTCAATGTCGTCATTTAAGGTGACATACTCAAATTCAGTATAGTATTTTTTTTTCGATTGGTTTGCTGTCTTTTATACTTCCCTCTGCGCGTATAAACTCGAATATGTTGCGTCCAAATGTGTCATTACTCTTAAATATATTTACTGTCACACTTGTGTCATAGCTAAAACTGGCCAGACATGGGGATTTCTCTCGGAGCTACCTCAGTTAGGTGATTTTTATCCTCTAGTTCGTTACTATAACGTTGCTTATTCACTTATCTTGACAGTACCATATCTCAGAGAATCAACTTTCACCACGAGATCAACACTAGAACCTCAAAGACCAGCAGCAGTTTCGGCAGACTTTATACCAATGCCTGGAACATAAGTGGTATCTCCCTGCTGACCAGACTAAAATTGTACACAGCTTTAATTTTCCCAGTACTGCTCAACGCTTGCGCAACATGAGCCGTGTATCAGCGCCATGTCAAAAAGTTGATTCAGTTTCATATAATCTGTCTCAGTAAGCTGCTCAAAATCAAATGGCAAGATAGGATCCCGAGTACTGCATTCCACACGATTCTGAAGAATCATCAGCTGCGTTAGACTGGTCACCTAGCCCACATGAAAGACTATCTCCTCCCGAAGAGAGTATTTTATGGAAAGCTTCAGCGAGACAAGAGGTCCCAGGGAGGACAAAAAAAGCGCTAAAACAAATACTCTAAAACTGCTCTCAACACTTTTGGCTTCAATACACCAACACGAAAAGCTGCTACACAAGACCGTTCTGGAGGGCGTACATCCCTCAGGCATGGTGCATCAGCCTGCTAGGCAGCCTAGGTTGCACAGGCAGAGAAACGGAGGAAGACTAGGATGAACCGTATCGCTAATCCCACACTTACTGCGGTTTCCACTTGTTGTTATCACAGCCTGTCCAGGTTTATATTGTACTAATTAGCCACTTTCGTACTCATAAGCACTGGTTTAATTACTTCTCGTCTTTTTAGGACGAAATTTTTCGTTATTTGAAACCCTACTCTGGCTCTTGCCAGGGGCCGCAATATAACCTGGCCATAAATATGGCCTAAAGACTGAACCCGGTTTCTGGGACCTCGCCACGGTGATCCTCACCCGCATGGTGGCACATTGTGTCATCGGGTGTTTGTCGTTTGTGTGATGTCCTGGTGGGGTAGAAAGGCAGTCAGTCGACTCATAAGCACTGAACATTACTACTTTGTATGAAAAGTGATCTTCATCGCCTGTGATGGACAAACACCAACATCATATTCAGGTAATATGCGGATGAAGGCTTTCTACCCTAAACGTTTAATTGTGACTGTGAGACTGTGAAACAGCTAGTTGTACTTCCCCTCTGTTGTGATATCTTGTCACGATACAACTTTCCACAGGGCAAGTACGTCAAGGCGATCCCAGCAGCAACAGTGTCTGCGAACTACGCCAAACACCTCTTCGGCATGTCTTCCAACTATATCAGCCCTTTGCTTGTGGCTGCTGAATGTTACGTTCATCTAGGGAAACTGGACGTGGTAAGCGTGTTAACATTGACCTTTGTTAACAAACTACCAAGGTAATTGGGCAAAACAGCGAGATATGTTAACAAACTGCCGAGGTAGTTAAGCAAAACAGGGAGGTCTGTTACCACAAGAGGTTTAGCAAAATGGAGAGGTATGTTAATAAAACACCAAGGTAGAAGAATAAAGACATTAATATTTGAACAAAATAGAAAGGTGTGTTACACACACACAAACACACACACATAACAGATCTTTATAGGTTAGATTTAGCTATAAACAGTAACCAGGGTAATAAAATACACATTTAGACTGACTAAATACTAGTTTAGACATGTAAAGACTGTGATGGGTAGACGACCGTGGTAGGTAGAAATAATGTTTCAGTAGATCAGCAAAACAGTGAGAATCTTCTTCTTCTTTTCTCCATTCCTGTTCTTCTTCTTTTCTCCATTCCTGTTCTTCTTCTTTTCTCCATTCTTGTTCTTCTTCTTTTCTCCATTCCTGGAATGACTAGCGGCGTCAGAGCAGGAAGAGATCTCTAGAGCGAGCCTTTTATTCGCTTCGTACGGAGTACTTTTCATTGTCTCTAATATTTATGTGGTCTATCTTTTGCTTATTCTGGCTTTTTTACTGTTGTATTTGTCAGCACTGCTCTCCGTGGTGCCCTGTCTGTTGTCAATCTTGTCATGTGGCCAAACCATTTGATTTTTTGTCTACCTATAAAGTTCAGTATTGATTTTTTGCCGACTCTTCTCTCCAAATCATCGTTCCTCGATCGATCTTCTCTCGTTACACCTAGCATAGTACGTAAACATTTCGTTTCTGTCAAGACTAGTTTACTTCTGTCTTCTAAAGACTGTCCGTGTTTGACAATGAGGATAAATAATTCACGAAACACGAACTCCACGTGTATGCTCGGGTTCCTCAGTTGGAGAAAACGTAATAAATCCACCGCCCCAAAACAAGCATGACGTAAAAGGCAACTAATTAAAGTTTTTTTCTGCCTTAGAGCGAGGAACCAACAGATCGGTAAAATGAATGTGCATGTAAAACTCAAAATTCTGGAACAAAACCAAAGTCCGGACATGGACGAGCAACCAGAGCCTTCCGCTGGCGTTTACAACCAGTGAACGAACGAACGAACGAACTTTATTTTCAAAGGGTTACAAATTAGGCACGCAGGCCTGTCTTACATTCGGCCTTTCCAAACTTCCATCTTTCACACAGCAGTGAGCACTAAGGAAAAGAAAAAAAAAAGGCTAGACCCTAAGGTAAAAAAAAAAAAAAAAACCCGAGCCTGTTGCAGTGGTCAGAATATTTGAATATTAATCACAAAATGTTGGGTTCTAATCCACAATTTATAATTTACCCGACTCCCATGTTGTAAAGTAAAAAGTAAAGGTTCTTTTTCCAGCACTTTGGGCGCACAGAGCTATATTTGTATAACCAATCGGAACAAGATGGGTGATGTTGTCAGCATCAAGCTGGCTGCCTTTACTTCACGGGACTGCACCCTGTACCCACTTAAGGCTGGGTCGACCTGGGAGCCAAGACTCTCATGTTGACCCTGTCTAAAATTGACACCATTCATTGAATTGACACTGCTTAACACATCTAGTGCATGTGAGTTTAATAAAATGTCGGTCTCGCGCCATATAGTGAATGGGCAAATGTGCTATAATTGGTCCAATAATATACTTATTTTTATTTTTATAGTCCGCGCCGTTTGCCGTGGTAGTCATGTCTATCCACAACTTCTGTCTTGTGTACTTTCACTCAATTTTGACACAGATGATCCTCCATACCATGACACAGACTGTCCAGCGTCGTCTCTCTCCGTCTCCCTCTACGTCCTTTCTCCTCCATGTAATAAGTGGTGTGTGTTTCTTCTCGTTGTCTAGGTAGTGTTCATGCGTGTGTGGTGGATGATCTTCTCACACGCTCCACGTTACACAACTGGCACAAGCCGACACCGATGTGAGCTTACGAGACATGAATTTATTGACGTATTTACACTTACAAACAAGAATGTCCTGTCGGTGTCCTAGTGAACAGCTCTCGTACCCAAACTCACGCAGCCTTCTACGAACAGTCTTCTTCAAGCATTCACTGACTAAAGTTGGCTCCCATGGATTCACTTTGAGGTTCTGGCCATCTCACACACTGGCATGGTCGATCTCGGCTTCACACTTCATCGGCAGGGTCTCCTTTCTCCACAAGCACTCTCACGTTGACATTCTCACTTTCAGTCGTACGTCCTCTCACTGCAACAGGTCGACACAAACTAAACTTGACCAGAGTCAAGTCTGACTTATACCACGGGTTCGTTTCACGTGACAACACGTGGTGGTCCTTTACTTTTTACGTGGCAACCTTGGGTCGCATCACCGTGGTCCCCGTGATAACTAGTGGTTAGTCACCTATCTCCAGATTCTCGTTTAATCCAAGTATCTGGACTATCTCGGTGTTTTAGGTCAGCTTTGGGCCTTCCCCCAAACCATCCTAAACTGGGTGAAAATATCCCCCATTGCACTCCAGATAGGAACATCTTCATATGCACTCCAGTTGGGTACTTCACCTAACATCACACACACAAAAAGTAGATTGTATGTTTCTGGTGTGGACAGTTTGTTCTCTCCGCGAGCCAGTTTCTTTGAAGACGTTTTCATATGTTTTGTTTATATCTCCAAGGCAGTGATTTCCGACCTGGGAAGGGGGCCGCTTTTTTAGGGGATGGGGAGGGTGAGTGAGGATGTTTCAAGGGAAAAGGAGGGGAGGGGGGCTGCGGCATCAAGTAATTTTGAAAGTGATTGCGTATGTATTTGTTGGAATTTTGAATTAGAATAAAGAATGGACATCACAATACTCGCGACACCCCTATAAGCACTCCATCCCCATCTTCAGCAGCAAGCGCGGAGTAAAAATCCCGATGGTATCAATAACCAGATCCCCTTATGTATGTACTTGTTATCTGAGTATTTACATTTTGTTTGGTTTAATTATAAATAAAATATATTTTAAACTGTTTATTATGTAGCAGTATAGGGTTTTTACAGCTCTTGAAAATGTTCTTCCGTACTTCAAATGACAAAGGAAAGAATGCTTAGAGTAGTTTGTGTGTGTGTGTGTGTGTGTGTGTGTGTGTGTGTGTGTGTGTGTGTGTGTGTGTGTGTGTGTGTGTGTGTGTGTGGGTGTGTGTGGGTGTGTGTGTGAAATGCTGCCTTTACTTATTTACTTACTGCAGACAATGGTTTTATTAAGGCTGACAAATTTCTAGCCAGAGCCTTGGATGTGGAGATTGTCCGATCAGAAACACTGTCACACGATGTCAAAGCTTTGATACGTCGAAACGAAGGCCTCATCAACCTGGCTAAAAACAATCTGGATGTAAGCACATATCGTCTTCTTTTTTGTTCAATTCTTCTTTGACCGCTTTTGGTGTCATGGGAGATATACGATTCTTCTTTTTTGCGTTCGGTTGCGTGTGCTTATATCAGACCATCAGGTAGGTTGCTCTATGAACTCGCATGTCAGCTGCATTTCCTTCGTGGTTCCCCATAGCTTGTTCTGCACACTTTGCTTTTGAGGCCAGGTGTCTTTTCAAAGTTGTAGGTAGACTGGGCAGACCTGCAGAATGTGCCCAGGTGTTTGTGGTCCTTTTTGACAGGCGCACTGTGGGGACTGTACAATCTTTGTTTTATGCACGTGGTAGTTAAGCCTGCAGTGTCCTGTTCGTAGACGGAAAATTTGTGTATGTTGCTTTCAGTTCAGTTTGCTGATGGGGTCTTGTGGATGTTTACTGTTAGTTTGTTCTCTCAACAATTCCTTGTATTTCCTCTAGAGGGCAGCAATGCGGCTGATCCTGGATTGTACAAGAGACACCCCGATTGTGTGAATGCGATACATCCTTGCATTGCCGACTATTGCAGATAGGCTAAAGGTGCTGCAGGCTAAGTCATACCTCAGAGTAGCTGCAGATTTGGAACATCCTCTGTGTGAAGCTTTGGCTACAGGAAAGGGTCAGAGGCTAAAAAGGGGAAAAACGTGGATGGCTCAAGCATAAGTCACAATAAGACAAGTATGCATGCTGGAGAACATTGGGCGAGGAGAGGAGTGGTTCAGAGTATCGGCAGAAAAGTCTGACCTGTGCAGGATTATGATCATATTGGGCCAGGGGTGCAGAGATTGGCAAGCGGGGGCTACGGAGGTTGAAGTCCAACAGTTGATTTACGACAATTCACGCCCAGATGATCTGATTAACTATACAGATTGTTCGGTGCTGAGAGGAAACAGAAGTGCCTAAGGGTTCGTAGCGAAAGCCAATGGAAAATCTTTAGTGCAAGACAGCCTAGCATCTGACACCACAAAATCTAGCATGAGAATAGAGGTGGAGGCGGTAACTGGAGTTTTCCGGTGGCTAGAGAACAAGATGCATACACATGTCGTAATTGTAACAGACTCTGAAAGCATGCTGAAAAAGGTGAAGACAGGGATGCCTCGAGCAGAGTGGCAAGCTTCACTGGAAAGGTCACGGGTAGTGAGCATACTTTGGAACTTTTCTCCAGGCCATGCCGGCGTGGTGAGTAATGAACAGGCAGACAAACTGGCTGGATCTGCACCACTGGGTAGAGAAAAAAGATGATCATGGCCTGGAGAGAATGAGGCACCTGGGTGTAACCAGAATGTCTGGCCTGCTCACTACACTCAGAGGAAAGTCAAAACGGACATTTAACCAGATTGCGACCGGTACCATCAGTACTGGAACTCTGCGCTGGCTGCTGAAGATGGGGACGGTGCATGCATGGGAATGCCCCAAGTGCTTTGATGTCAATTTTTGATTCAACTCAACATAACTCAACGCCGACATATGGCCATACATCACCGTTATACTGGGACAGTTACGAAGTTAATTATTAAAAAAAAAATCAATCCGATAACTTATCATACCTATGGTTGCTGTTGTCCAGGAAGCGCTCCAATGTTTTGCAGAAGAGATCTACCAAAACACAGAAGCTTACAACCCGACGCACTTTCGAACTTCCGGCGGATACTGTTACCTTGGTTACATATTCTACATTAAAGGGGAATATCTCGTTGCCGCCTCTCTGTTCAAGTGAGTACATCTCGTATTTGTACCTCATTTCTTTGTCTTCCTCTTCTTCTGCGTTCACCCTTGTAAGATCGGCTTGCACGTTGTGTTGTGATTTACTGTTAACAGGCTGCAGTATTGCCGCCTTAAAAAAAAATCCTTCCCCTATATGGGCTATGATTCAAAAGAAACCCCTACAACGAACGTTGATGAGAGAGGCCAAAGCTGCTTAACTGGATTTGATCCATGATATTGAACTGATATTGCACACTATAGAACAGAATGGAGGAATAGACTACGAGCCCTATGTGACATATAATGGCACAGCATGATAATGAATGAATTGATATTTCTAATAGACATGAAGGTGTGGAAAATGCCTTTTGTTTTTACTATATTTTATCAAACCACCAGCAATCATTGGGTGATGTGGTCAACCTCACACCCGCCGCCTTTACTTCCCGTGGTTTTATCTGGTACCCGTTTTACCGTTTTACCTGGATGAATCCATGTGTTCTCGACCCGTTAACCTGTCTGGTTGGGATGCCCTCCTGGTAGCTGTGCTGTCCTATGCATAGCTCCGGGTTAAGGGGTGTGGGGGGGGGGGGTCACTAAGTAACCACCACAACCCAGATATTTTTATCTTTCAGACAGCAGATATTCGTGTAAATCCGTAGAACCGCTGAAAGAGCAGAGGACAGCCCATATTTTTTTTATCTCATAGGCTGACGGTAGTTATCTGGGTAAACACCGTAGAACCACTGAAACAGAAGAGGACAACCCAGTTATATCGTATTTTTGTTTTTGTTTTTGTTCAGGCAAACAGTACATATTTGCGTAAACACGGTAGAACCGGTGAAAGAGAAGAGTACAACCCAGATAATAATAATAAAAGGGGGGAAACCCAGATTTTCGCATCTTCCAGGCAGACGGTAGATATTTGGGCGAAGAACGTATAGCCGCGGATATAAGAGATAACAGCGCAGTTGCAGCATAGTTTTTAGGTAGACGTTGGGTATTTGGGTAAGAGGTAATAGTAATGTTGCTCTCCACATTTTCACAGTGTTACACACTAGCTCACTTCTGATTGGTCGACCTTCAACCTAGCTCAATTCTGTTTGGTCGACCTTGAGGCACGTGAGCTTGGCACAAGGTTACGGGGGTGTCCGCAATGCCGTTAATATGGCGTGTTGTATATTTCAGCATGCCAGCGCTTTCAACATTCCAAAAACATGGACAAACTGTCTAACACACAGCCCTCCTAGTGGGAGCTGCAATCTATGTCACAGGAATTCTCTTTCTCGGAAGATAAAAATGAAAGCAAACAACAGAGCGGCACACCCGTTACTCACGACAGTAGACAAGTCCAACAAAGTTGTCAATGAAAGGTGACCTACTTTGTTTGGGGAGACTAACGTTTATTTAAATGGGTAAGACTGCTGAACCGTTAAAAGCAAAGAAAAAAAAAGCAGGTATCTGTATTTTTTTTTTTTCAGGCAGACGGTAGACATTTGGGTGAACACTGTAGACCCGCTGATAGAAGAGATGACCACCCAGCTGATGGTGCCAATGTTCGCTGGCGAAACGAAGAAGAAACTGATGAGCGATTGCGACAACTTCCAGGGTCTCAAGATTCTCACGTAATGACGCCTGTCTGTCTTGGCTTCGCTTAGATTTTCCGTAAATCGTGGCGTATTGGTCGAGATTTCAAGCCAAACTTTTTTTTATAAAAAAACTAGAGGTCGACTCAAGTGTGGGTGTAAATGCAGTACGATTGATATTGACGTAACTCAGAATTTTGAACTAAGATTCGTGGGGTCGCGTAGTCTGCCAGATCAACATTGTGCTGCAATTTACGGTATATTTTGTTTTCATTTTGCCTACTACTCATATGGGACTCGCCGTGGTGTAGCAGCTGGATGCTCGCCTGCGGATCGGAAGGTGGGTGGTTCGGGTCCTGGCGGAGTTAGATTTTGTCATCAATGAAATTGGCTCCCAGTCGACCTAGCCTTGAGTGGGTACCAGGTTCAGTCCTAGGAAATAAAGGCGGCCGGCGAATGCTGACCACTTGACCCACCAAGGGTCGATCGGCCTATAAAATACAGGTCAAGCCCTATATGCCTAGTACGCCTAAAGGCGTAGAAGAGGATCCTTTACCTTACTCTTTACTACACAAACCTGAAGCATGACCTCCACACTCATGGAATCATTGTATGGGTTTCATGTCGGTATTTCACAGTCGCAAAAGGGACTCCGTACCGGTCGTCCTCTCAATAAATGGTGATTGGGGAAAATGAACATATTGGAGAAACCAGTAGAAAGTGAGCAGATTGTGTTCTTGAATATTTATATACCTGAAGAGACTCTCAAGCCAGTTTCCTTCAATTTTAGAGTTCTCAGCACCGAGGGGAATCCAGTAACTCAATTCACTGCTGTGAAATCTTGCTCCGGTGATAAAATCATTCGTTTAGAAGATCGTTTCATTCAGTTTTAGTTTTCTGAATAGAAGGGATCAATATTCTGCGCTCCTGTATTCAGTTTATACCCCGACTTTTCAGACTTATTCCTGTTTCGTTTCTTAATATAGCTCTCATCAGAGCTTTTAATATGAAATGCCACCAAAACAATACAATGGACCAGGAAGAAGAAAAACACCGATATCTGCATGAGTTGAGCATGGACGAAAATTGGCACATAAACAGCATCATGGTCGGAAAGTTGAGGTTAAGCTTCAATGTGGCCTGAAGAGACGGGTTATGGAGATACAGATGACCCGCTCAACCTCCATGAAAGTAATAATTATGGCGCCCGTAAAACCTTTTTTTTTAAGTTAGTTGCGTATTCTTTACAGGACGTTGCAGAACCAACCCCAGCATTTTTTCTTTTGGCTGTTGTGAGTTTTCTAGTCAAGTTTGCGTCCTGAAGCTTGCCATTTCTACTGGACGGTCGGCTTCTTGATACCACTCTCAAAACCAACGCAAGGCGCAGTGCCTGCCGTTGGGATCGAACCCGGCACCCCAGCATTACAAAGCGCGTTCGCACAGACGCCGAAAACACCTACACCGACCACATGTAACACTTAGTTCTATTATCATCCTCATCAGGTGCCTTGCCGAATGGCGTAGGCGATCACGCCTCTCCACAATCAGCGATCAGTCCTATACGGATCTAAATTAAATCGAATATGAGCGTATCTGGGAGTTCGCATATGCATACAGGTGGGAAGGTCTTTAGTTCGAATCCGCGTCGAGGCGCCACTTTTCAGAATGGGCCTTGACTTCCACATCGACCCAGCCTTAAATGGATAGCGAGTAATGTCACGGGAGGTAAAGACGGCCGTCTTGCTGTTGACCATATCAACCATCAAGTGTTGATTTCTCTAAACAAAATTATAAGTCGAGCATCATATGTCCGGTACACCGTGGTGGTAAATTATGGCCCTTTACTTTTTTTTTTTTCAATATATATATATATCTGTATCTCTTGAAGCCTTTTAAAGTTACTTGTTTCTAGTTAGGTTTCGCTGATACAAATGTCCCATTCCTGGACCTGGAGTCCAAAGGTTCCGTCGCCCAGCTAACAATGTCACTACTTGATGCGACACTGTGAGCTGTGGGTTTTATGTTAAGTGTTGTTATAATTGTGTGTGTGTTTGTGTGTGTGTGTGTGTGTGTGTGTGTGTTTGTGTGCACGCGACGTGTTGTAACTGCACTAAAATACCGGTAGCAGATTACTTTCAGAATGGGGTATACTGTTGCGAGTGCAATGTCCCTTTAGTGGTTGACTGTTTACCCAAAAGTGAGCTTCAATTCTGATGTGGAACTGTAAGTGTTGGCACATCTGACGGCTGTCTGTCTTGTTTGTTTGTTTTAACTTTGATCGTGTGCAATATTTCAGATTTTGCTGGAAACAGACAAATTTGTCACTAGGCAGTGACAAACATTTTGTGTGATTTCCGCTGGCACAGGGGTGATAAGTGTGCCGAGAGGTGCTTCCTAATGCCCTCTCCCCCTCCGCCCCCCCCCCCCAGGATGACGTCACACGACAGTACAATATCTTCGACTGTGGTAAGAGCGGGTTTCCCGGCTTTCTGATGCTTTTAACTACCCCAAAACATATAAAACTGGGCCTAACCCCAACCCACCTATGTCCCACGAGATAGAGCAGCCTAGGTCCCACGACTACATGCAGCCTAGGTCCCACGACTGCATGCAGCCTAGGTCCCAGGACTGCATGAAGCCTAGGTCCAACGACTGCATGCAGCCTAGGTCCCACGACTACGTGCAGCCTAGGTCCCACGACTACATGCAGCCTAGGTCCCACGACTGCATGCAGACTACCTACCACCGCTTAAAATATTCGACCGTCTGTTGGGGGAGGAGGGGGAATGGAGATTGAGATATAACCTGCAGAGATGTTGGAGCCTTGACTAACGAATGACGACATCCATATCTGCAGGAAATGTTATTCCCACATGGAAGAAGACTCAGGGCATGTGATGCTGCCAATAGACATGGTTCGTGTGTGTTATGCTCTAGCCGCGCTCTTATACATTGGCGAACGCTACGTGGTAAGCATAGCTTCTAAGTTCTTGTTGGCACCTGTCCGTATTTCCAGATGATAGTGTTTCATTGTGTTGTAGTGAGACTTGAGCACCACAGCCTATACTTACACTGTAAGGCGGATTTTTATATAGGAGTTCAGTGGGCCAGCTGTTTCACCGTGACGATGTGAGTGACCAAGCCATTTTCCCTTCTATATTTCCAGCAAGTGATACCATCTGTATATGAGAGATGCAAGGTTTTACATGCGAAAATGTAGCTTAAAGTCGCAGCGGACAAAGATCACTTTCTATATGAGGCCTTAAGTGATGGCAATGGGCAACAGCTGAAACGAGTTAGCTACTGACAAGATAGTGGTGAAGAATACGTCACAGTGCCGCCAAGCAAAACAGGCTTGCACAGAATGATAGTTAACTTGGACACTGGATGCTGGGAATGGATAGCTGGTGAAACAGAGTCAGCGGCGTAAGAGCTGATCAATGAAAATTCACGCCCGGGTGACATCATAATATCTGCAAATGCGTCAGTAGTGAGAGTTAAGAAGAGTGGGCGGGGTTTGACACTGCTTGAAAACAGTCTGCCTCAGTGCAGCGTCATTCCACCCAGTATGAGAATGGAGTGGAGGCAATAATAGCTGTTTTCCGATGTCCTGAGAAAAGAGAAGCCCGACATGTTGTGATTGTAATAGACTCACATAGCTGAAGCTGGTGCCCTGCGTGCAGAGCAGAAAGCATTAAATCATGGCCATATTTATGGCCCGGGTACATTCAGGACCCCCGGCAAAAGCCAAGGTGGGGCCTCAAATAACGAAAAATTGCATCCCACATAGGGACGACTATATGAGGATGTTAAGTTGTTAGCTACTCTTTTTTTTATAAGGAATACATTATATTGGTTAGAGCAAGATATTACGTTATAACATTATTACTGTATTATATTTATATATATATATATATATATATATATATATATATATATATATATATATATATATATATATATATATATATATAAAATACAGTAGATAGAGGATAGAGGACTTTGGTGGCAGTGAATCCACATCACTCGCCAGAATGGCAGACTTGGGAATTAAGATTGGCACAGCAAAAAACGAGACGCACACCATACACGCCAGAAGACTTGTTAATCAACATAGAACTGGTACTATTAGCAATCGGACGTTGGGGTTCATACTGAGGGGAGGATCTGAGCACCTATGGACATGTCCGGAGTGCAATGAGGATAACCCAACTAACTAACTAACTAACTAATATATATATATATACATATATATATATACTATATATATAAATATACTATATATATATATTATTTTAACATTTGCTACTACCACCAAGAACTGCACCCGGGACGGCTCCACCCAGGATCACTCCCCAGGCTTCCACGCTCACCCCGACGGCCCTCCTACTCCTCTCAGCCTTGTCTTTTTGAGAGACCGATTGCCGAGACGTCCCGATATAGGTCCGACACTCTAGTATCCCTACCCCCCCCCCCCCTATTTTCAGCGCTGCTTGATTCGGCAGTTAGTGTATTTAATAAACTAAATAATCTTATCTATTGTTTCTTGTATGGATTGCAGGAATCAAAAGCTAGAGCTTATCGAGGTCTAGTCTTTGCAAAACATCTGCCTCCCAAGTTCGATAACTGGCGAAAAAAACTTCAAGAGATGGGCAAATACAATGACAGGAAGTTGTTTAAAGAAGAAAAATCCCTTGGAAGCCCTTCTTTTACGTCACAAATGGACTAGTTTGTTGAACATATTTTCCCATGTTGACCCCACAACAGACTGTATAGTTTGCATGTAAAAACATACAACAAACCGGAGATTCTTCCCTCCTGGCGGTACGAAATGGTATCGATACATTTTTTATGCGTCGGTGTTTTATTTGATATGTTCCAGTGTTACTTTATAGACCTTTGTAGTAAGTACCAGCATCCTGTTTTCTGGAGATGTTTTCTGGAGAGATAAAACAAATGGCCCGTCACTAACTACTACTGTGACATATAACTCTCTTATTCTCATTCGGAGCTGAAAGCAACGAAGAAAAGATAGCTGAAACAAACATCGAAAGGCAATTCCAACGCTAAAAGACTTACAGTTGCAGTGATTTAAATTAACATTTATATTATATAGTCGTCTTCTCGTGGGACGAAATTTTTGTTATTTTGAAGCCCCACCCTGACTTCTGCCGAGGGCCCTGAATATAGCGGAGCCATAAATATAGCCTAGTCGTCATAGATATATGGTCATAACGGCTGAATGGTTTTTTTGGGACCTCTCCACCCAGTGATCCTCATTCGCACGGTGGCACTTTGTGTCGCCGGATGTTTATCGCCTAGTGGGGTACATCTAGCAGCCAAGCCTACGCTAAAAGACTTAGAATTGCAGTCATTTTTGTGGAATTAATTTGAGTCTCCGAAATATTACTGTCATCAAAACAAGTCTCAAAGTCAATAGCTTCTTTATTTTCTGCTATCCTCATATTGTTACCAGGTTGTAGCCCAGCGTCGTTTTCTGAAAGTGTCTTTTGCTTCTCGAGCGCTCAAGCGATGAATTAGTTCATCTTTTTTGCAAGATGCAGCTACATCGTTCATTTATCTCTTCCTTGATCTTCCTATCGCCTTTTTATTTGGTTTCTATTGTATCCAATGGCTTACATTTTTAACTCATTGAAATATTCCTTTTAATTTGCTTTTGATATATCGATTACTGGAAAGTTTTTTCATAATTTGTTGTTGACACCAGTAGGTGCATTACATATTTCTGCCTCGATATATCTGTAACCCAACGCCACATGTCTCTGGTTATTCTTCAGTCTGCCCCAAATTCTGATTTTGTCGCGTTCTCTTTCTTTCTGCTTTTTTTCCCCCTTGTTGACGTGGTCTTGGACAGAATCCAATTCAGCACCCATTGTATCTCTCATCAGACTTTCGTCATATGGTCTCTTGTAGACATCCTCGTCTCCTTTATCCTTTTGTTTCCCATTGAAGTGCCTGTCTGGATGTTCTCTGTACGCCTTTCCTCGGGATGAGCCCAGAATATTAACATCTCTTGTGTCATATCTATTGAGACGCCTTTTCTTGTCTGATTGTATTTGATGCAGACTTAATCTGACTAACTTGTGCTACTCAAAGAAAACTTTCAGAGGAAAGGAAAGAAGGACATATAATCAGACTGCTGATGGCGCTATTTGTTCTGGAACTCTGCTCTGGCTGCTGAAGATTTGGGCGGAGCACCTATAGGGATACACCGCGTGCTGTGATGTCGCCTCTGGGAGCAGTTTAATTCAACTCAACACATAGAAGTATTGTCAAATGCCATTTAACTAATGATTCAGTAAACAATTAATACGCTTACTAAAAGTATTCGTTAATTAGTCCTTCCTCTTGCGGCGGCACATAGGGCAGAGGTCATAGCTCTCAATGACTGGCGGTTCGTTGCTACCTGTTTTAGATCTTGGTTGTTTGTTATGCCCATAGTTGAGCCTTTTCTGATGATGGTTCTACGCAGGGCCTCTCTTGGTCTTCCCCGTTTTTTCGTTACCCTTCCGGTGTCCATATGAGGGCTAGATGTGGAAGTCTTGTCTTATCCATTCTGACTGCATGGTCGATGCAGTTCCAGATGCGCAAAATTTGATGCATTTTCTTGCTTGGTCTTTTGTCTTATTTCTGCATTGGATCTGAAATCTGTACAGTAGAGATTTACTATTCTTCTAAGACAGCTGTTCTCAAAATTGTATAATTTTTTGCCAAGAGCTGCTGCTGCTTTCCGACTCTCGCATCCGTAACTGGAAGTATATTTTATAATGAAAAGCTGTCATTTCTTGGATATTTAACCTTTTCAGTCTCAAGTATGTGTTATTTGAATTGTTGATTCCGAAGTACCTTTTTTTTTTTTTACCTACAGCTATTATTTTTAGACCCAAGGAGATTAATTAAAATGGCTAATCATAGTTACAGTAACATTGAGGTAGGAAGGATTCTTATAGCAATTACATGATAATTGATCGCTGATTTAAGAATCGACATCCTAGCACACCGGGCATACCCATAGATGCTCCGTCTCCCGCAGCAAATGTCTTGAGGTTGCAGATGCTAACTTTTGCCGCAGTACGCTGATTGTAAACACATCGTTCTCTTCCTCTCGCACTTCCCTCCTTGCCGGATCCACTCTTAATTTCTCCTTTACGCAGTCTTACACATATTATTTTATCTAATCTCATGTCTTCTGTCAACATTCGTCTTCTGAATATCTCTCTTGTCCAGTGCCAGTATGTCCGCAGCTTTTGCTTTTGTAGCTAGAAAATCCGCTCTTTTATTCCCTCGCCCTCCTGCATACCAGGGACCGTATATTCACGTAATTCCCCGCAATCTTGACGTACTGTCGCCCTCCTGCATACCAGGGACCGTATATTCACGTAATTCCCCGCAATCTTGACGTACTGTCGCCCTCCTGCATACCAGGGACCGTATATTCACGTAATTCCCCGCAATCTTGACGTACTGTCGCCCTCCTGCATACCAGGGACCGTATATTCACGTAATTCCCCGCAATCTTGACGTACTGATGCTTAGTATCTAGCAAGCTGAGTTGAGTCAAGAATTGACATCATCGCACTCGGTGTATTCCCCGGCGTGCTCCGTCCTCATCTTCAGCAGCCAGCGCAGAGTTCCAATACTGATGGTACCGGTCACAATCTGGTTATCTGTTCGTCTTGCTTTTCCTCTGAGCGTAGTGAGCCGGCCAGACCCTCTGGTTACACCCAGATGCCTCATTCTCTCCAGGCTGTAATAATTTTGTTTCTCTACTGATTCCGTTGCATGTTCCCAAAGAGCCTTCCCCACATTTACTTTGTCATGTATCAATTTGTCACCAAGTGGTGCAGATCCAGCCAATCTGTCTGCCTGTTCATTACCCACTACGCCGGCATAGCTTGCAGAAAAGATCCGAAAATGCTCACTACCCATGACCTTCCTAGTGAAGCTTGCCACTCTGCGCGAAGCATACCTGTCTTCACCTTTCTCTTCATGCTTTCAGTCTGGTATCCAGCAATTATATGGCAAGCCACCATGTTTAGAAAAGGTTAGCATGTAGTGAGTAAGCCGTAAACGCATGATAGCTCAATTGTACCAAATGAGTTAATACTAGTTCGGTGCTAATGAAGGCATCTTGTGTTACTTTATATATAATTTAACTGTCCTCTGGGACCTTAAGATCCTTTAAAAATTCACAATTTATAAAATTTACCATTAATATAATTAATTAATTTTGTATGATTTTTGATGAAACAATTTTTTTTAGAAACTTTATTAAAAAAGCGAAGGTTCTTTTTTTTTTGATGAGTTGTTATTTATATTGCAAAGGGTTTATTTTTTGTTTTTGTTTTGTTTTGATTTATGTGTTAGAGTCTGTGGCTTAGTTGTTGCAAACACGCTTCGTAATGCCGGGGTGCCGGGTTCGATCCCAGCTACGGACCTTGCACCGGTTTCGACAGTGGTATCGAGAAGCCGACCGTCCAGAAGGCAATGGCAAACTACTGGACGTACATTTGCCTAGAAAAACCACAACACCCACAGTGAAGTCAATAAAGTAAAGATTCCTTTACACGCGCTTAGGCGCATCGGGCATATGGAAAGAGCACCCATATTTTTACAGACCAATCGGCACTCGGTGGGTAATGTGATCAGCATTACTCCGGCCGTCTTTTCTTTACTTCCCCAGGACAGCCATCCTGGTACCCATTTGAGGCTGGGTCGACATGCGACGTCCCATACCACGATTAAAATCCACGCAGCCCACAGTGGGTTTCGATCGCGGTACGTTGGATTATGAGTCTGACTCGCACACAATGCTGGGGGCTGGTTCTACGATGTCCTGTGAAGGATACGAAACTAACTTGCTTGTATGTACATTATGTGTGGCTCTGTGACTTAGACGAGGTTTCAACTTCACTACAAGCGAATTTGCCCATACTTGCTCCGTTTGAGGTTTACACAACATATCAATATCATGGCACACAGGTAGTAATCCATAAGTGCTGCGTTCTACTTCTAGCTCAAGTCTGAGTCCGAAATGGCTCAGCGCAGTTCACTGGCTCCGTAGCACCGGCGAGGATCCTTAAATATTTTAGGAAGATTTTAAACTCCAAATTTTGCCCGGGCAGCGCCGTTAGGCTACTCTTCTCGTTTCAACTGCCAAAGGATTTTTTTTTTGCGTGCGCAACAATACACACGATCGTCTGATCTTACTACCCAAAGACCAGAGGAATTACTAGTAGTCCACGTGAAACAATCGCAGCTCTGACTTGCTCCGTTCATGTGACAGTGCAAATCAAACTGAAGAACAGATGAACGAACAATTAGTTCCGGAACAATCTAGAATGTGCGCACGCAGTGACTTTCAGAGATGAAAGAATACGGTTCACAGTTTTGATGATCATGGAGTACTAAGGTGTGTAAAATAGAAATACAATGTAAAACAAATCACATTTCGTAGTTTTCCGATAATGGCACAAAGGTCGCGCTAAGGAGAAGAGTGAGAGCCTGACTTCGTAACTTTCCCAAGACAACAGTGGTGACGAGGAAATATTGACTTAGGAACGATAATATCAGGAGGTGAGTCGGCACAGAACCTATAGTGAACTTTACATGCAAACAACAGATCAAAAAGTTTGGCCATGTAACAAGATTAGCATCAGACAGGGCACCACGAAGAACCTATGTTATAAAGATACAACAGCAACAGAGACAGAGGTTGACCACACAGGAGATGGACAGCAGAAATATCAGAGACACTGAAAAGTACTTTATACGAAGCAAACAGGATGGCCCATTCCGTAAATCTCTTCTGCTCTGATACCGTGAGCATTCCAGAAGAGAAGAACAGTGATCCACTGTACCCAACCTTGACTGTGGAACCGACACCGAATTTAATATAATAAGTTTTTTTTCAAATGTTGGTTAGTTTCATGTTAATTTGAAATGGGCTGTCTACGCAAGGTCACTAACAAAGCAAGAAGAGACAGGGTTACGAATACCAGACTAGAGAGAAAGCTGAAATAAGACTATGTCCGGATTACATTCACTAAGAGTTAAATGTTTCTGTCACCTAGTGAGAATGCAGCCAGACCAAACTGCATTTGAGAGTTATTACAGCTGTATATCTTAAAGGAAAGCTAGAGAAAGACCAAGAAAGAGATGGATAAATGGTGTAACCGAAACCTGCAAAAGAGATGAACAAATCAATCACCCAAGCCACCCGAGAAGCGGAAGACAAATACAGAAAACCCCGACACTGGGCTACAACCTGGTACCAGTGAGATGACAAAAGAAGAAGATGGGGAAAAAAATAACATGTAATCTGGTAATCTTAGTTTCAGCTTCACAGCAAACGGGTCATCCCACAAGTTACCCTCCAACTTATCACATCACGTCTGGAGGTGACAGGTTCAATTCCCGGCACGGTAACTATATTTCGATTTTTATGTTGTCTAGTGTGTTCTTCTATCTTTCTACTTCTTTCTATGAGTGCCGTTCACAATACTTTCTGTGACTTGAATAATTCACATAGTTTGGCACTATCTCTTGGTGATTTCATTTACGGCGCTGTATTTAGGCAAACCTCAGAAAAGGAACTTCCGCTGTGTTGAATATGTAAACAGAAGGAGCCACATTATTCAGAGCTTGAACCTCCAAGAATCGGTTTCTTTAGCGAGCAACACTTCCTTTATTCTAGTTACAGACATTTTTACATGCAATGGGGGAGTTTCAACGAATTCGCCCTTTCAAGGTACAATCACATGGAACGCATATTCTCTCTGTTTGTTTGATTTTGACTTATTTATGACCGATACCGTGCATCTGCGAATGAATGAATCTTTTTTGGTCTTTTCATCTTCCCCCTCCGCAACAGGAAAAAAACCACTCATTACATTGTGTTAAATATGTGTTGAAAACAGACGATGAATAATTAGCAGTTCGCCTGCTTTCAGTCAACAGTCGGTTACAGTTAGTCTAAGACTTGTAATAGTTAGATAACACAGTGAATAGAATAGTGAATGTCTACTAGTAGTACTACAGAGTACTACTAGTAGTTGGCCAGCAAACCGACAGTCCAGTTGTTTATTTTACTGTACTCTGTAGAAAAATGAAGAGATCTCATGAACTGATTAGAATGAAAAGGACAAGAATTTGAAGAAAATGTACAGTCCTTCACGCAGAAGATGGATCACAGAATTATCGGAGTGAAAAATGGGAGACATAAAAGTTAAATACCTAGCAAGCAGACACTTCCGTTTCAGGGATCTTTCTTTTCCTTCCCTTCCACTGCGAGGCATTCCAAGAGTGGAGAAAGGAAGAAGAGATTTTTGAGGTTTTGAACAACGGATCAGCATAATGGCACACGGAGAGTAACCCATAAGTGCTTCGTTCTTCTGCTAACTCGTCTGAGTCCGAAGAAGCTCAGCACAATGCACAGGCTCTGTAGCACCGCTGAGGATCCTGAAATACTTTGGGTAAATTGTTTAACTCCAAAATTTTGCCCGGGCAGCACTGTTAGGCTACTCTTTTCGATTTTCAACTGCAAAGGGATTTTTTACATGTGCAACACAACAATGCACACGGGCGTCTGATCTCACTACCCAGAGACCAGGCAGAATCACTAGAAGTGCAAGTCCACATGAAAAAATCCCAGCCCTCACCGGGAATTGAACCCGGAACCTCTAGCACTCAAGGCAGACACCATGCCTCGAGACCATGCAGCCTCCCAAGAAGAAGGGGAAGAATAATTGACTCCTTTGAACTTCGTCCCCATATTTTGGCTACCAAACAAATACGCTAACAGGGCCTCAGTCATGTGTAAAATGCGGACTAATCCTCTGACGAACACATCGCGGCAAAACTAGGATTACTATCCGTTTACAGTTTCGAGAAACGCAACAATACACATGATAATAGCTAAATGGCAGACAGACTGAGCACTCCGACGCAGGTTAGCGTTAGTGTTCTTCCGATTAAACTCAACGCTGAGAGTATCCCCGGCGCTGCTACACGCGGCACAAATGGGGGGGGCTAAACTAGATGGCTGGGACTCACGAGCAGCAGCTACCACATCTCCTGCAACTTACTTCAATTTATTTGCTCATGAGTCCCAGTGACAGGGGAATACTGTCGACGGTGCAGCATAGTCGCAGAAACAGGTTAGCAATTAACATATCGCTGAGACCCTGTTAGAGTATTTGTTTGCCCTTGATAATATTGGCTCCTTATTTGGAGGCAATCCTAGTTTTGCCGCGATTTGTTCCTCAGCAGGCACTCTGCAATTTGCATATGACTAAGGCCCTGTTAGGGTATTTGTTTGGCCGCCATAATATGGGGACAAAGTTAGAAGGAGAGCCAAATAATATATTTCAAGGTGTGAGGTTTAAATTTAAAGTAATTGACATATCCCCCCCCCCCCCCCCCCCCCAGGTACCAGGCCTGGAGCAGACATCAACGACCATGTAATATCATATAACTTTACCTTTATTATTATTATTCTAAATGTTTATTTTAGGGGCCTTTTTTGGGGTCCTCACTTCATCATTCTGTTTCCCATTTAAGTGCCTGTTTGATGGTTCTCTGCTCGTTTCCTCTCTGAATGGGTCCAGTATAGCACCTTCTTCTTTGTCTTTTAACTGTTATCACCACTGGTAGCCCAGACATTTCTCTTATTTCTTCAGCCTTCTTGAATTCATCTCATTTCATGTTATATCTTTTAAAATTATAGCCATTTGATAGTTTTTTATATCTGCCAGATTTTAGCGGTTGTCATGGTGACGATTGCTGTGGTACTGACTGTTGCCTCATTGGCTGGTCATGACTGGGTGAGAACTTCCTTTTACGATGGGAAAGTGCAGTCATGGGGGCTGTGGTGGAAGTGCTTCAAGGTTCATTCGTCATTTCAGATGTGTGTCAGCTCAGGTAAATAACCTTATTGTTATCCTTTTTTCTCATTGACTAGTCTCTGAAAACTCAGGTGGTTGGGTCATACCTGGGGAATGGAGGATGGCAGAGTACCTAAGGACAGCCTGTATGGTGAATTACAGATGGGTAGAAGATGTCTAGGTCAGCCCATGACCAGCTCCAGCTGATGGGCCATGTTGCTGACATCACCGGGCTGGGCTAACAATGCGTTAAAGCAGCGGTTCTCAAACTGTGTGCCGAAGCACCCTAGGGTTCCTTGAGCATATGCCAGGGGTGCTGTGGCAATAATCAAGAAAAGTTGGCTAAAAATTTTGAAATGAATAAATAAGACCTGTAGATACTTAAATGTTAAAATTTATGTTGTCTTTCTTCGCCACTTTCAAAAATAGTTTATTTCTTGTTTGAGAACCACTGCATTAATGCATCGTTAGCCCGACACGGTGACGTCAGCTGCACGGCTCATCAGCTGGAGCCAGTCGTGGTCGGTCTCTACTATGATATAAAGATGTGTGCAAATGGCACATAAGTGAAACAGGTATTGAGATGCATTCGTAGAAACAAAGTGCCATGGACCCTGTTGAATGGATTGGAAAAATCAAGAAGGGAAAAAAAAAGTATTGCAGAAAGGTTGAGAGCTGAGCGTCTAAGAAAAAGCACGCTAACTGCATGTGATGACAACAACGCCTTTTGGGACTTGATTCATGGGGTGTAGGGTGGCGGAACCTCCATGGGAAATTCTCTGATTAATGATACAGAGTTGGAGACAGTAAAATATTATAGAATAAGTATTGGATGTTTGGAAACCAACAGTAATTTACTGTGGCTTGTTGTTGTTCTTCTTCTCCAGAGTAGTTAGCATCACTTTGGATATTTTCTCCTGGTAATGCCAGTGTTTTGGGAAGCGAGCAGGCAGATAGACTGGCCGGTTTGGCATCACTAGCTGGTGAATTGATGTATGACAAGCTACATGTTGTGACAGTGAGGGCCCTTTAAAAGTGAGTGAGCGGTACAGAGGCACAAAAGAGATCACTACGATCTGAGGAGAATGGTGTTGCGGGCACTTAGCAGGGAATCTGGCCAACGCTTAACACTCAAGGGAAGGGCGAGACGGATAAACAATCAGCAGTTACTGGTACTATCAGAACTAGAACTCTTTGCTGGCTGCTGAAGATGGGAGATGGAGCACTCATGGGAGTGTCCCAAGTGCTATGATGTTGATTTTTAATTCATTATTCAACATTCTTCTCTAGAGCTGTATTGCCTTTCAGTATCATGTTTTGAAGAATCATCAGGTGAAAGCCTTGGTATGTGCTATATTTATGGCCTCGGATATTCCAGCTATCCATCGCTTGCGTGGACAGCCTCTGGTTCTGCTCCCATTATATCTCTAAGACAGGGCTCTCTAATATGGTGCACCGTCTGGTGGTAATTTTGACACATGCCCAAACCATTTGATCTGTTGTCTCTTGATGTATTTTAATTTGGGTTCCGTCCAACTTCTTTCCTGATATCGCCATTTCTGATCTTTTCTCTTCTAGTTACAACAGGCCTAGCAAGCTGGCAGTAGATCAAAACCTTATGGAAACATTATGGTGAGGAATTGGACTGATACCTATGGAAAACGACTGTGACTTGTAGTTTGAGTTGAGTTGATTCAAGAACCGACATCACAGCTCTCGGGGCATTCCCATAAGTGCTCCGTCCCCATCCTCAGCAGCTATTGAAGAGTTCCAGTACTTATAGTGCCAGTATCATTCTGATTAAACGTCCGTATTGCCTTTCCTCTGAGCCTCGAGCATCTGCCAGAACCTCTCATCACTCCCCGCTGCATCAATCTCACCAGACTTTTGGTCCATCTGCTCCTCTGAACTGTACATGCTCTCCCACAAGGCCCTAACCACGTCTGCCTTATTGTTGTAGTTTGAAGAATAGCTAAGAATGTTTCATCAGTGTATTTAATTTAATGTCTTCTGTTTTTAGGCTGGCTGTCTGCTTGTGCGGCAATGGTGTTTCTGTCACTGATAAGTAATGTTGTGGCAACAGGACTTGGTGTCTGGGGTCTGTGTGCTAAGAGACGACTGCCCTATGTCCTGGCTGGAGCCATGTGCATTATCTCTGGTACAGTATAATACTTTCATTCTTATATAATGAAGCTAATGAAAGTTGGTCTCTTTATGCAGCGATAAGAGACAAACACTGTTCTTTGGCCACATTATGAGAAGAGAGACATTGGAGAACATTGTGACAATTGGAAAGATCAGTAGAAAAAGGGGTAGAGGCAGACCAAGAGAGATGATGCTGGATGGGCTGAAACACTGGCATGGAGTGATATCAAAAGAGCTGTTACAGGCAACAAGGGATCGTGATCTGTGGCGATGCATGAGCGCCTATGCTGTTGACAGGGCACATGATGATTATTATTATATTAATCAATCACATCGTCAGCAACCTTGTCTCCCATTGTGGGGAAAACAGGAATCGACCCACTGCCTTCCCAGCAAGCATGTCATATGAGTCAACTGAGTGGGAGGCTCCTTCATCTGCCTAAGAGGCAAGAATTCAACAGTCTGCATTCAGATAAGTCAAATCTGAGAAATGGATGTGTGTGTGTAACACTCAGGTTCTGGAACAAGACTAATGCCCTGAGGTGGACAAACACCCATAACTTTTCACTGGAGTTTACAGCTGGTAAATGCGAAGAAGAATTAGATAATCATCAGCATCTAGTGCCATTTGTGTGTCACATAGGACTCACAGTCTATTCCTCTATTTTATTCTGTCTTGTGCCAATTTTCTTTAAGATATCATACAATCTAGTTTAGCATCTTTGGCCTCTCTCACCAACATTCCTTTAACAGTTTATAGAAAGGGAAGAGAGCTTTGCAGAATAGTCCTCTGAAGACGGTACTTTGGGACCTTACCATTTCCCTCATTACTCATTACTTTTGGTGGCGTATTGCAGTTCATTATGTTTCGAGGCTTGATTTTATAGGGATAATACAGCAGTGGTTTCCCCCTGACTCCCGTTGGTTTGTTTATGGTTTGACTCCTATAGCCTTTGTTTAAAGAGACTTACCGTGGACATCAAAAAGAGCAACTAAGAGGTTTTGAAAGAGGCGGGAGCCTGAAGACAACTTATCAGAGTCATCCTTTTTCGGCCATGTTACGAGAAGAGGGAAAATGGAACATTTTGTGACCACTGGAAAGATCTGTGGAAGGAGGGACAGAGGAAGACAATGAGAGAAGTTTCTTGACAGTCTTGTTGCATGGAGGTGTGTCTACGCATGAACTGATACATGCTGCAGGAGATCGTGGATTATGGAGAGGCATGAGGGCCGACGCCAGTCGGCAAGGCACCTGATGATGATGGTTTTTGTTCAGCCCATTTAATGGTTTGCAGTAAAGCAGCCCCAAAACTGAGACAGCTATCCCTTTGCTTACAGCATAAGACACTCCCAGTCACCATAAAGAAGCATCTCATTCAAAGCATATTCATTCCCACCCTGTGGTACCAGTGCCAGACATGATCACTCTCAACAAATCAGGAAAGAAAATTAGAAACCATGGAAATAAGATGTCTGTTGTCTGATACCTGGCTGCTGAAGATGAGGACAGAGCACACATGGAAATGCGCCAGTGCTGTGATGTCAATTCTTGACTCAACTCAACTTATGAGATGTCTGAGAAGAGGTGCAGGGGTGACTAGAAGAAATACAATCAGGAATGAAGTCATAAGCGAAAACCTCAGCATAAAACCACTTCTAAGTTACATACAAAGACAACAAATCAAATGGTGTATTGAGAATACCCCGTGATGCCATACCATGAAAGACATATACCAAAATAGGGCGAGGGATGTAAATCAAGAGGTAGCCCAAGAACAAGATGGAAAGATTACTTCAGAGAAACTCTACAGCAAGATCTGTCTATGGTCAGAGAAGTAAGAACCAGCACCTTTATCTCCCTTGACATCGGAAGTGAAGAAGAGGCAGTTCATTTAATTTCTTAATGCGTCCAGAAAGCAATGGCAAACTACTGGATGTAAATTTGCCTGATGCGTTGGTTTGGACAGTAGTATTGAGAAGCCGACCGTCCAGAAAGCAATGGCAAATTACTGGATGTAAATTTGCCTAGAAACACCACAACAGCCAAAAAATGCTGGTGTTGGTTCTGCAACAACCTGTAAAGGATACGCAGCTAACTTTTCTAAGAGAAGTAAGACTTTTGTGATGAATGAATCTGCAACCATGATCAGGCAGTAAGAACAGCATGTTAAAAAGGGTGTGGCAAAAAAAAAGAGCACTGTGCAGGAAGCCAAAGAAGAATAAGAAGCCAATACAGAACTGGTGTCGTCAGCCGCTACACACAGAATTTACTGAGGAGGGGATCCAAGCACTTTTAGACTGAATGGTTCAATGTGCAATGAAGATAATCTGTAGACTACTAACTAGCCCCCTAAATACCATTTGGTCTACAAAAGTTACAAAAAAGTCTAGGCTTATATGCCAAATACGTCACGTGTGAAAAAAAAATCCTTTTACTTCAGTAGTGAAGAGCTGATAAACTAGCTAAGGAAGGTGCGACTGAAAAACAACCTGACGTACCAGTCTCTTATCAACAGAAGAAGAGAATAATCAAATCAATCAGAAAGCCACCAAAACCAGTCTCTTTTCAGTAAAAGAAGAGAATAATCAAATCAATCAGAAAGCCACCAAAACCAGTCTCTTTTCAGTAAAAGAAGAGAATAATCAAATCAATCAGAAAGCCACCAAAACCAGTCTCTTTTCAGTAAAAGAAGAGAATAATCAAATCAATCAGAAAGCCACCAAAACCAGTCTCTTTTCAGTAAAAGAAGAGAATAATCAAATCAATCAGAAAGCCACCAAAACCAGTCTCTTTTCAGTAAAAGAAGAGAATAATCAAATCAATCAGAAAGCCACCAAAACCGGCACAAGACGATTGCCATTTTATGGACAGGCCAGAGCAAGTTATTAATCTACGCCTTAGAACAAGACACAATCGACTTTGCAGCCACATTTACACAAAATTTAAAATTAGAGAATCAGCCACGTGCACATGTGGACTGGCATCTGAGACAACAGATCATGTCCTCCAAAACTGTCCTTAAATACAACATATCAAGGCAAAACTTGTGGCCAAGAGAAACATTGATGCAAGTCAAACTTTACGGGTCGCTGAGGGAATCAAAAGACAGTGAAGTGAAGATAATCTATTTCAAGTGGACAAAAGAAGAAGAAGTTGTGTTTTATTCCTGTTTTTGATTCCATTGTGTTGTATTATTCAGGTGCTTGCCAGTTGCTCAGTGTGGTCATTTATCCGATTATGTTTACGCATGAGGTGAGTAAGCAGAACTTAACAGATTCTAGTTTTTTTTTCTCTTTTAAAGTCTTTCTAAAGATAATGCTGATGTAACCTGAAATTAATCATTGGTGTTAATCAAGATATTCCCAAACCTTCTGGGGGAGGGGGTGTGTTTAACACTGTTATCTCTTACGGGGGCATATAGTCTGTAAAGTAAAAGTAAAGGACCCTTTTCCACACCTTTGTGCGTATTGGGCATATTGGGCATATATTTTATAGACCAATCAGCACTTGTTGCATTACGTGGTCAGCATCACCCCCGCCGCCCTCACTTTTTAGGACTGCACCTGATACCCACGCAAGGCTGGGTCGACCTGCGATCCTAGGTCATTAAAAAAAAAGTCCAGCCCCGTCAGGACTCAAACCCACCACCTTCCGATCCGCAGTTGGGTGTCTAGCTGCCACACCATAGCGGCACCTTCTATATTCTGTGCTGAGGTAATATTCAGATTGATTTGTATTGTATGTTTAGGGGTTATTGTTATTTTTTATTAGCTGTAGTAGTTGCACAGAGGAGCTACGGAGTATGACAAGCCTGTTTCGTATAAGTCTGCCCTAGGTTTTCTGATATGTAGTATGTGAAGGCATTTGCTGCTTCTTCCATTATTTCTAAGCAATGACTGAAGGTAATCTGGAGCATTTTTAAATGCTATTTTATGAATAAGTTTTGCCTTATTGAAAATAGGCATTTATGGAGTGGTCATAGCAGAGACTCCTATGTAGGTTGGAACTGTCTCTTCCATAATTATAACTTATTAATCATACAACTCTTCTTTGAAGTGCTTCAAGTCATTTGATAACTGATTTGGAAGAATAAAATGAAGGTACTAGTTATTATTATTTATATTTGCACTCCCAATTGGTGAAAATTATTAAGTTATTTCTGTGTTCCAGATTCGCAGCAACCCTGACAACAAAACAGAAACGTCAACTTTTTCCTTTGCTTGGACCTACGGCATTGCATGCGGTACTATTTTCTTTGTGCTGGGAGCTTCGGTATTCTTCCTCATCAGATTAAGGGATGAGGACGATGCTCAGCCAATGAAATCTTCCCATGAGAAACCCACATTTTACACCACATAAACTTTGTGTGTGTTTTGGTGTTTAGATGTTTTCCTCACTTCCTGATGCATACCACTTTTATGATTTCATCAGGAGTTGTGGTTTTGACCGTCCTTTCCATTACTGCTAGCAACATTATGTTGTTGTTTTTTTTTTTTTACTTTATTTAACTTTAAGGTTTGGTATAATAATGTCAGTTATTTTGACTTAGGGCTTCTTGTTGGCACAAAATATACTGGCTACAAAAAAGGGTGGCTATAAGAAAAAGTAATGGACAAAGGAGACATTCTGAAACCATTTACAAATAAATTCTGATTTTTTAAGACATGAGAGTACTTGAAATAACTTGTATAAAAATGTGTGAACATGGAATTTGGAGTGTCCATCACAAAGAGACATAGACTTTTGCAAAATCAGAGTGTAACGGGAATAGTTAGCATCCACACCTCAAGATATTTGCTATGGGAGACCAGTGTGCTGTGACTTTGATTTTCAAAATAGGAATCGGTAATAGAGCAGTAGACAGTTTGGAGCATTAGACAGTTTGGAGCAGTAGACAGTTTGGAGCAGTAGACAGTTTGGAGCAGTAGACAGTTTGGAGCAGTAGACAGTTTGGAGCAGTAGACAGTTTGGTGCAGTAGACAGTTTGGAGCAGTAGACAGTTTGGAGCAGTAGACAGTTTGGAGCAGTAGACAGTTTGGTGCAGTAGACAGTTTGGAGCAGTAGACAGTTTGGTGCAGTAGACTGTTAGGTGCAGTAGACAGTTTGGAGCAGTAGACAGTTTGGAGCAGTAGACAGTTTGGAGCATTAGACAGTTTGGAGCAGTAGACAGTTTGGAGCAGTAGACAGTTTGGAGCAGTAGACAGTTTGGAGCAGTAGACAGTTTGGAGCAGTAGACAGTTTGGAGCAGTAGACAGTTTGGAGCAGTAGACAGTTTGGAGCAGTAGACAGTTTGGAGCAGTAGACAGTTAGGTGCATCAGACAGTTTGGAGCAGTAGACAGTTTGGAGCAGTAGACAGTTTGGTCATTTACCAAAACTAGATCCAAACAGCGTGCCCTAGACAGTAGACCTTAAGCTTATATATATATATATATATACATATATATGTGTATGTTTGTATGTGCGCTCGTGATGTTCACCACATCACTTATCGAGTGCTAATCGGTCTGTACCAAAGCTTTCTAAACCATGTCGCAACAGATTAGTATGTGGCCTGCAGTGTTACGGTGTGACGAAAAAGATTTCCGTAACTCTCACAAAAGGGTTAGTTTAACCTCTAATTTGGTAATAGACTGAATTACTGTGTCACAGAAGTGTCTAAAAAGTGTATCACCAACCTGACACATTTGCAAGGATCTGATTTATACAGGTATGAGATTTATACAGGTATGAGATTTATACAGGTATGAGATTTATACAGGTATGAGATTTATACAGGTATGAGACTAACATCAGCTGGTGGCCCCAGTGGCAGAAAAAAGCCCTTTGCTGATTTTTGTCCTCTTATTACACAAAATATTTTTATTTGTATAAAATCATGAAGGAGCAAGGGGAAATAATTTCCACCTGAAGCTGTAGGTTGCAGTTTCTAGCCCCTGATGTAGATACACTTGGGCTACCCTCCAAATAACGGCAACATTTTATGGCGACCAAAAACACACACTGACAGGGCCTCAATCACATGTAGCGCACTTCCTCCGATGAACACATTACAGCAAAACTAGGATTACTGTCCGTTGACAGTTTCAAGAAACGCAACAATACACACGATAGTAGCGACATGGCAGGGAGTGCACGCGCTCCGACGCAGGTTAGCAATAGGGTTCTTCAGATTAAACTCACCGCCGAGCGTGTCCCCTGCACCGCGTCGTAGCGGCACAGATTGGGTGCTAAACTAGATGGCTAGGGCTCACGAGCAGCAGCTACCTCATCTTCTGCAACTTCCTCCATTTTATTTGCAATTTAGTTTAGCTCCCCATCCGCGCGGCACGGGAGATTCTCTCGGCGGTGAAAACTGCATTACCAATGCGGCACCGATCATATTTAACCCAGTTTCAATGGCGCCACAGCCACAAAGAGCAGATTTTCGGGCACTATTTGCAACTTCTATGCCACTATTTTCAGATATAAAGGCTTCAATTATTGCTAAGTAGTCAATTTATTCGGAGGATAGCCCACACTTGTCTTCTTTATTTTCTCCAGTTAATCCATCGAATTGTTGTGGGGTAAACACACTTGTACAGTTTTTAAAAAGAAATATATTTAAAAATGCACATATCCGATTCTGAACCGTTTAACATTTTTGTTTATGGCATAACATTTCAGTGTTTGATGTAAATGCATTCCAGGAAAATTAACTTTAAATGTATTTTTATTATTATATTAATATTGTGAAGTCCAGGTGTGATTTTTTTGAGTTTTATGTTAGAATTTGCTTTTGCTTGTTTTGTTTTTGGTCACATCATTTGTTTTTAACTTTTTAAAATTTTTTGTAATACCAGTCAGTGCACTGTACATGTATTGGCTGGCCCGTGCATTCCACATTTTTAATGTCTCAGATAGACTGTATTCCACCTGTTTAAGCTCTTACCTGGTTAGCCCATATACTCCACATATCTTAACTCTGTCTCATATAACCCGTACATTCCATATGTTTGAGTACTATTGCATATAGCCCATATACTCCCCATTCTTAACTCTGTTTCATATAACCCGTATCCCCGTGTGGGTTCCGGGGCCCTATTATGGGGGGAAAAAAATAGACCCACTGTCTACCCTAAAGCATGTCGTAAGAGTCGACTAATTGGGAGCTTCCTTCGAAGTCGGAGTGCATCTGCATGAGAGGCAAGGAACCAGCAGTCTGCATACAAATGAGTCAGATGTGTAAAATGGATGCACACGCAACACTCATGTTCTGGAACAGGACTGCAGTCCAAAAGTGGATGAACAACCAAAACTTTCTGCCAGAGTTTACAGCAGGTGAACGTGAAGAAGAATATAATCCGTACATTCCACATGTCCTAAATCTGTCTCAGACAGACCATACATTCCACATGTCTGAGTAGTATAGCATATAGCCCATATATCTCGTTACATATCTCTCCCCCCCCCCCCCTTTCTGCCTCTTGGTGTCTCCACTTTCATGTTGTACGCTGTGGTTGCTGGATTCATTATCATTAGTTGTCTCAACTATTTCAGTCTTTGTCATCTTATGAATGTAAGAATAGGAATTCTTTTTAGAAAACCCATCACTTGATTTCTCACTTGATATCTTCTAGTGTTGTTCACAGTTGTTCTCCCCTCTCCCTTAAGTGGCTTATATATAGGTCTGGGTTCGTTTCAACTGATATTTCTTGAGGATCACTTTTTATATTTTAAAATACTATCATTACACCGTGCATTTACTTTGAGAATATTTTTTGTTTATCTTATGGTGAGGTGTATATTTGTTTTTGATCATGCAGTGCAAGTACTTTTATTTCTGTTAAACAATTTAAACTTAAACATTTTTTTTTCAACAGCATGATTTGATGTGTATTCTTAAAAATGTATTATAATTTTTCTTCTGTGTCCACTGTATATATTTCTGGTGATATTACATTTTATGTTTTTCTTACATGCTAATCTGACCTTTTACAGTTTTGTGCTTTGAATTATAATTCCCATGAGGGAGTTATTTTTTTTACTTTGCTTAGCTACATGCATTTTTACTGATGTTTGTTAGTATAGTTATACTGAAGGCTACCATTTACATCTCTTCAGTTATGAGTTAGTTCAGAGCTTTCCAAACTGTGGGTTGCAACACAAAAGTGTGTCCGCTGCAGTGTGAAAGTGTGTCGTGAAAATGTAATCCGTTAAACGGAATAATCTGCACCCAGCATTGCAGCATATATGGCAGATGTTAGTAGACTGATTTATTGTGTCCCAAAATTATGTTTATTCGAACAGTTTGCTACCAGCAAGTTTTGAAAGCTCTGGGTTAGTGAGTTAAATGCAGAACAGTTTCTTGTGCATTTTGTAAAATATTTAAAACAGTCATAGTTCATTTTTTAAAATTTATTTTTAAAACATTGTGGTACATATTTGTTTTCTCAGTACTTCAGAGAAAGTAAAAGATACAAAACTATTTTATTCTGCCCCCCCCCCCCCCAACCCTCCCCCTTTCCCCTTTGGGGACTATTGTTTGAAGATTTGACACCGAAGGAATATTTCTTTAAACAGCTGCTTACTATAAATTGCAGTGTACAAGTCGATTGCAAGCTTTGTAGCTCAAAATTAAAGAGTTAAACCTATAACCACCATATAAACCAGCTCCCACAAATACAGTCGGCTATCCACTGTCTAAATCTGAGGTTTGTGGATAAATGAAGCTACGCCACAGCAGCGGTCCCAAACTATTTTGGCTCGCAAAACCATTTTTTAAATCAGTTTCTTTGGCGGAGCTGCTTTTTATTTCTTAGTCTTCAATTTCATTTATGTTTTACATATTTTCCTGGTGCTGCTGCGGACCCCTTGAAGTGTTCCGCAGAGCACGTATTGTGAAACAGTGGACTACGGCATACGATAACCAGTGCTAAACTACGTCAGTTTTAGTACGATATATTTGTGGCAGCCTGCTGCAAGTAGTTGACTTGAGTGCTGTCCCACTTGTTTACAGCTAGATTGTAACAGTTTGCATTTTGTACCATATAAGTCGATCCCTAGTTTTGGAAAGATTATTTTTCGACTAGAAGACATGTTTTATATACCACAGTTTACAGTACGTTTTTCTAAATCCATTCTATGAACGAGACACCTGAAGTATTGTTGAGAAATTCCTTTTTTTTTTGGGATTTAATTGTATTTATCTTCATTTAACATTATACATTGGTTGTTTAGATAGTTATACAGTATTTCTATGAAAATAAGACCTCACCTAAAATTAAGCACTGGCATGGTTTTTCAGGATGCTCCAAAAATAAACCCTACCCCAAATATGACCCCTAGATAAGATCCTCAGTCAGTTGGAGAGATTCTGTTG